ACTTCCTCTTGAAAATTTCATTTAAAAATGCATTTTTGACATCCAATTGAGAAAGACTCCACTGACGAACAGATGCAACTGCAATAAGTGTACGAACAATGGTCATCTTGGCAACAGAAGCAAAAGTCTTCTCATAATCCAGACCATACTGCCGAGTAAAACCCTTAGCAACCAATCTAGCCTTGTAACGCTCAACTGAACCATCCGATTTGGTTTTAATCTTATAAACCCAATGAGAACCAATAGCATGTTTACCTGGAGGCAATGCAACTAAGTCCCAAGTGTCTGTCTTATGTAGAGCAGAAAGTTCATCAACCAGAGCCTGTTGCCAAAGAGGATCCAGAATAGCTTCTTTATAGGAAGTGGGTTGAAAAAGCTTATGAATAGAGGTTAGAAAACAACGAAATGATTTGGAATAACATGAATAAGCAATCAGATAACTAAGTGGACTTACGAATACGTTCAGGATATCGACGAATAGGGGGAGCAGGAGGTGGATCAACAATCTCAAACGGTGCTTGGGAAGCTATAGAATCAGGAAGAGTATCATGAGCTGGCGCATGTGTACATATAGGGCATGAAGAATCAACAGTGCATGGGGTATGGGAAGGCGGTTTGTCAATATCATCAGAAAATGGATCAATACGAATGAGATCAGTTTTTGTCAAGTCATGAGTATTATCAGGAATAGAAAAGAACAGAATGTGCTCAAGAAATATAACATGACGAGAAACATATAATTTCTTATTAATGAGACCAAAACAATGATAATTCTTTTGTCTCTACCCATAACCCAAGAAAACACACATAGCAGAGCGAGATGTCAACTTATTACGTTCAGCCTCAGGACGAAGAACAAAGCAAGTACAGCCAAAGACTCTCAATGAAGAGTAATCACGAGGATATCCATACAATGTTTCAAGTGGTGATAATCTTGAATTGTAGGAAGAAGGACTCTTATTAATTAAAGAAACAGCAGTAAGAAATGTTTCCCCCCAAAATTCACTGGGAACTTTGGCAGACAAAAGAAGGGAACGGGCAGTTTCTACAATGTGCCTATACTTTCGTTCAGCAACACCATTTTGTTGTGGGGTATTAGTACACGAGGTTTGATGGATTGTGCCATCAAGAGCAAGTAATTCAGAGAAATCAGTTGAAATATATTCTCCACCCAAATCATATCTAAAACACTTAATTACAGCGGAATGTTAAGTATTAATAAGTGCTTTAAAAGAACGATAAATAGAAAGAAAGTCAGAACGTCGTTTTATAAGATAAACCCAACAATCACGACTATAATCATCAATAAAAAAAATATAATATCTAGACCCTCTTTTTGTGGTAATAGGAGCAGGTCCCCATACATCAGAGTGAATAAGATCAAATGGTGTAATAGAATAAGAAACACTACGAGGAAAAGGTAAAGCAAAAATTTTAGCTAATTTGCAACCATTACAATCAGAAATGTCATGAATTTGCAAATCTCCCAAATGACCCTTAGAAACTAAAAATTTCAAATGACTAGCGGAAACATGTCCAAGGCAAAAATGCCACAAATAAAAACTAGAAGACGATGAATTCAAAGAAAAAGATGACAAGTCAACAACGGAGGCTGCAACATATGGTGGTCTCAGATTGTCCAGAACATATAACTCTCATTGTCTATGACCTATCCTAATTAGCTTCTGAGATCGAGGATCCTGCACATGACAAGCAGTAGAAGAAAACTGAACTAAATATCCAAAATCACACAACTGGCCAATAGAAATAAGATTTAAGGTAAGAGTTGGAACATAATAAACGCCTGAAAGTGATAAATTTTGTGTATTAACACAACATCTGCTAAAGGCAATGATGTCCATCAGCAGTCATAACAAACATAGACGAGTTAGAAGGATGCAAGTCATTAAAGAGTTTTGAGTTAGATGACATGTGTTTGGAAGCACCAGAGTCAAATATCCACGAGGAAGAAATACTTGAATGACTTTAAGATGACAAACCTATATGCGTAGAGGTTGACATAGCGTGTGGCTAAAAACTTTTGAAACTGCTCTGCTAAATCAGTCAACATGGGACTAGAAGAAGGTGGTGCTCCAAGTATAGACGAGTCATTAGATGGCATGGTAGTAGCTAGTTAGCATTGGGATGATACGATCGCTACCGCGGTTGTGGCTGCTGCTTCTTCAATATCTTGGGACATTGATACTTTCAATGTCCCTTTTGTTTGCAAAAGTTACACTCATCACTAGCAACACACACATAACCTTTGTTCTGATTCTGTGTGGACGATTGAGAAGGTACATCCAACACTGAAGTGCTAGATGGAAGAAGGGATACTTCTCCTGCAAGAAAAGAGCCTCTAAGTCCCTCAAAATCACTGCGAAGTGCCATAAAAAATTGAACTAATCGATGTTCCTTTCTAAAAGTATTATATTCCTCACATGCTTTCAGTCCCCCTGATTCTATAAGAGTCAACTCATCCCAAATTGAATTCATAGCAGCATAAAATTCGAGAGTACTCATATGCTTCCGTTGTGAGGCCTGTATATCAATCTCTAACTGATATTATTTTGCAAAATTAGACTTAGTGTATAACTTCTGTAAGTGATCCCAAACTTCTTTCGCTATCTTAAACTTAGCTGACTATGTATCAATGGATTGCTTAACAGAATTATGAATCCAATTGAGAATTTTCGCATTGTTTGACTCCCAATTATCTAAATCTGTCACATAATTCTCAGCAGTGATCTTAGGTTTCACGATAGTTCCACTAACATAACCCCACAATCGTTTTCCTTTTAGAAAATTCCTCGTCATAGTGGTCTCATGTTTCATGATAGTTCCACTAACATAGTCCCACAATCGTTTTCCTTTTAGAAAATTCCTCATCACAGTACTCCAATATGAGTAATTTTTACCATTTAATCTAATACTAATGGATTGAAGTGAATTATCCCTTTCAGTTGCCATCATGAAATCAATAAATAATCATCATGAAATCAATAAATAATCAACTACTAATCAAAAGAAATCAGCAAATTCCAAGAAACTCAACAACGACCAACGTACCAACATGAACTACCACCGGAATATACTGTACAGTGCACATATGACCAAATTAATACCACCAAAATGTTAGAAACTCACCAAGGAATAAACTGTCCTGTTGAACCGTCGTCAGAAAATGCTTCACGCACCCTTAAACGTCGCCAGAGTCTCTGCAACTTCCGTTCACACGTCGCCGGAAGAGAGCGCATGGTGATACACGTGCCAGTCAGGTAGGATCATCTTGTTGTCTGGAATCCAAATATGGTCACCAATCGCCAAACAAATGTTTCGTTTGAAAGATACTATATATTTTCAGTAGCGGCTTAAAGGAAAATTAGGGTTTTCTATTGTTTTGTTGACACGAATTGTTTGAGAATGGATTGAACGAAAAGAACAACCTCAACTCATATGTTTTGGCTCTGATACCATGATAACGTACAATCTAATCCATAGAATCAAACACATATAAATAACCAAAGAAGGAGAAAGAAGAAGAGGAAAACAATTGAGCTACACTAAAGGATTTAGGGTTTACAATGACTTAATATATTACAAAGAGACCTAAGCTAGTAAGGAAACTAAGCTAATAAGGAGACTAAATATTAATCAAATAATTAAACAAATAAATATATTATCACTTACTTGATCCCGCCTCGAACTCGACCCATCCCACTTTAGCCGGGTATGGGTATGAGGTAAGATAAATAAAATACCCAACGGGATGGAGGTGGGAATGGTCGATCTGTCCTATACCAGCCCCGTTGCCATCCCTAAGTATGAAATGGGTATATAAAAGAATACTTAACCAACTTAAATTATAATTTAAACCATGACGAGTTGCAAGGTGGATTACAAACCACATGAACCTTTCAAAACTTACAAAAGCTTTCGAATTTCTACATTACACCCTTGTTTTATTTAATTAAAAATTATATTTTGATAAAAGTTAATAAAATATTTAGTCAGAAATTTCGATAAAAATTGTGGATCTCATTAAGTCTCCATTTGGCTCCCTATAAAACTCATCAATTTAATTTTTTCTCTCATATTTTCAATCACACAATCTTCCATAAAATAATATTTTATGCAAATCCAAAATTTTTCATTCTTTTACAACCATTCATTTTTCAAAAAAATATTATTTTCCCATTATAAATTCAAATAATGGGGGTCACACGGGGTCTAAATGTGTGTTGACAATGAATTTGAGGACAATTAAATTTTTAAAAACTGGAGGCCAAACCAGAGCTATAAGTCGAAGTGGATCAACTAATTTAATTAGAAAATTCAGAAATTGCTTGATATTCATCTTCTATATGGTTTTTTTTTCCCCTAAAAATCAAAATTTTAGTAAACCTTAATAAAAGTTATGGATTTTGTGAAATATGCTGTTGAAATTTTGATAAAGTTGTGAATTATCTAAAATGGGTGATTGAAAATGAAATAAAAAAATTGTGGGACAAAGTCTCTATATAAAAATATTGAATTTTTTTAATTATTTTTACTTTTTATGATCATTTAATCTTTATTTAATCCTTCGCCTTTTCAAGATCAATGTCTTGATCTGTCAATTTTTAAAATATTGATAAACATTAATCTTTTTCATTGCTAGATCTATCAAAGAAACAGCATAGAACCTATTATAAGAGTATCCTCAATGGTAGTGTAAATTGGAGATTTAGATTTCCAAAGTGATCGAAAATCTCTCCAATTGAGAAATGTAGAGAAGATGCAAATTGCATTTTTTATAGAAAAATGCCAAAAAAAAAAAAAAAAGGATTTTCACCTTTTTAACATCCACTAAAGGTAAAAAGTAGATTTAGATCTTTTCATTAGAGCAGAATTTGGATTTAAATACCTCAGAATGTAAATGAACATGTAAAAGTGATTTTCAAGACATCAATTTACATCCAATTTTCCACCATTATTGGAGATGATCGAAGTCATAAATCTAGGGATTTCTTGTTAGAGCAAAATATGAGCTCTAATTCTTGCATTTATCAGAATACATATTACATTATAACTGATATTACACAAATCTTATTCGGTACAAACCTACAAAGCAATGGCACAAACTTCATTAATTGATTGGCTTATTGGGTAACTTGAAGGGATGAAGACAAGGCCTCATGATCTGCCATTGGAATTGTCTCCATCTTGCAATTAACTGATAACAATTGAAATGAGTTAGAATGACTCTCTTGAATGGAAATTGCTTCGATGAGTTTGAGGAGAACACGCTCAAGCTCTTCTCCATCACTCCATTCATCGATTTTTGCTCTTACGAGTTCCCGATTTTGGCATATCAAATCCCAAACTGGGAAGTTCTTCCTTGGCATGACGTAATCTCCTTCTTTAAGCTTTAAACTTGGGCAGAAATCTCCACTTCCATCGCCTAGATAGATCATAGTTTTCTTCCCTTCCTTAGCCAAAGAGGCTTGAATCCTTTCTATAATCATGCCCTATTTTTGAAAAGGATTGAAGAGCATATATTAGGTTGTTAATAATGTGACATTTCAAAGATAATAGTGAAAAAATAAATATACTAGTATTAATTTGCACTATCACTTAAATTGAAACATTCTAAACTTAAATGTTACAATATTAATATATTGGAAAATACTTGTTATACATCATTATTTATAGATTCTTTTACAGATTGATGAGGTGACAAAAAGAAAGTTTTTTTTTTTTTTTTTTGGTTGGTGAGATTTTGATTAAATCAAATCGTCATATCACGTGTAGATAAACAAATTTGTAAATTGTGGCTTACATGTAGCACAATGGATATATATTTATTTTAATGCAAGGTTAAATCAATACAAGTTAGATGATAAAAGTATTATCATAAATAAATCTATTACTTTTTTCTTTTCTTTTTTTTTTTTAATAAAAACCAATAGAAGTTGACCAGCAAGTAAATTTTTTGAAGTATAAATTGAACTAATAAATAATATATTTTGGATAAAAAAATAATAATTTATTTATTTTTTTAAAATTTGGAACTACGATTGGGTTTGATTTTGAACTGTTCTTAATCATCAAAATTTAAACTAAATAATTTCTAAATGGTTTGGTTCAATTTTCTAACGCTAATGGAGACCATCGATTAAGAAGGACTTCGGAGACTGCAATCGAATTGGTGACGGAACTATTTTACCTTCTGAAAAGAGCTAAATCGAAACTATAAAAACCTAATTCACGCGAATCTAAATCAAGGGTTGACAATCTTTAATATATTAATTAACAAGATTTGGTGGGGTCACGCGAAACAAACTTTAATACATTTTATGTGCCATTCAAATCCAATTTTGGTTTCAAGAATCTGGAAAGTTATTCGGACATATCGATAAATCTTATTAGACAGAATTAAATAGAATGCAAAAGTAAAAGAAGTTAAATTTTTTTCTACCAAACTTGCTCAATAATAATAACATGAAAATAGAGAAGGCAGAGAAAATATCAAACCTTGCACATATTGGGAGGGCATAGATTGCAGCCATGAGAAGAAGATTGAAAATCATGAAAAGGGAAAATTCTTAGCCTCCCTTCTTCGTTCACATAGCCTGGATTTGTGTTGATTTCAGTAAAACAATCTCTAATTCCAAGATGAACTAAGATTGTTTCGATGTAAAAGAGGTTTGCGTCGCTCACTATCCTTAAATCGCACCTAAATTCAACATCAAATTGCAAACAACCTTTTAGGAAGCTGGAAAATTTTAGAGAGAAAAATATAATATATTTTTTTGGCGAGAGAGAATTATACCCTAACGAATGAGCTGTTTTGATTGCTGGGATGACCCGTGGATGAATCGGGGCCCGTTTTAGTACCTCTTGGATGTCATCTATGGTTTTTCCTTGTGTATAGAGCTCCTTCATCATCATGTCCTTTATAATTTAGAAACAGAAAAACAAAATTAATAAACCCTCTAATTAACAACCAAAATGTTCACTAGGTTTGGGGTTGGTCTTATTTTGACTACGGATGACTGTAACAAGAACTAGATTTGTAGAAGAAGGGGGAGAAAGAGAGAATAGATAGAGACGTGAGAGAGGAAATATCGTGTATTAAATTTATTAAAAGTCTTAACTATAACAAAGCATTGAACCTCATTATATAGTGTTTTACAAAGTATAATTTAAGCAAGAAACAAAATATGGAATTAAAAAAAAAAAAAAAATCAAAGAAACATAATCTGGAAAATAGAACTCACCATTACGGAATTCCAAGGCATTGTGGGAAGAAGTTGATTGAACAAATCAGTGGCCCCCAATTCATCCACCACCCAATTATCACTATCTAAGTCGATTATCGTCTTGTCGAAATCAAAAACCACCACAACTCCTGCCATTTTGGAGGTTTTGAAAAGTTTTAAGGTTTCTTAAGGGGAAATGTTTGGCGTCAAAATTCTTGGTATAATGTTATCCTCGAATGAGGGCTATATATAGGAAATGAAATGCCAGGTACCCTCTGGAAATGAATTCTATACACAAAATTGATTCCATGGAATATTACTCCCCAACAGTTTGTGGTATGTTAAAGCAAAGCTATTCAAATTCCTTTTTGTCTCTAGAAAAATCAAGATTAATGTCTGCCGTTGGATTTGGTCATCTTTGAGTCTAATTGATGATCGGACGGTCACTATTATATTTATTTAATTAGTAGGCCATTTTTTGTAAAATATTGTCTTAATCCAACTGGGAATGCACTTCCGACCACTCCCCCAACTTTGGGTGGAATATTCTTTATTCTGGGTTTCCCGCGTCTCACAAAATTTCAAGTGTCCTAATTGCATATTAATAGAGGTTCATTTGTTAGTTGTGAGTCGAGAGACATATTTTATAAGTTGAACTTATAAATTAAACGCGTTTCATATTTTGAATTCGATATATTTGGTCATAATTAAAAGGGATAGATATATTTCATTAAAAAAAATAAATTTGATGAGCCACGAATAGCTCACTAAACAGGGAGCCAAGCCCACATTTGCCGGAGTGAGTACACTGATGTGGTGGATTGAGCTAAGCCTGATGGTGGACGAGCCAAACTGCTCGACTTGACTCATTTAACATCCCTAGGATTATGCTAATGTAAAGAGCTACATAATAGCAAATGCAATCCCATTAAATGAGTTTGTAGATGATTTAGACAAGTAAATATTATTAGATTGATCATCTTTAAATAGACGTCATAAAACCAGCCCAGAATAGTGAAGAACATTATCAAATACAGGTTAGGTATATATATATATATATATATTGGATGGGATAGAAATATGCTAAACCCTTCCATTATTTTATACCACCCAAGAGGAAGTGGTGGAATCTCAATCAGCCTACTCATTGCAATTAGTATAGCACACGTCCATACTCTTTTACATCGTATTAATTGATTAGTTCTTTTCATATCGTATGAGAATCCAAAAGTTGTAATGATTTTAATTGGCACTTATTCCATTAGTAATAATTTGTTGTGTGGCAACATATAACGATGACATGCAAAAATCGTTAAGCATTTTGATAATCACTTTTCTCGAAAGTACAAAATATATACATCAATAAGTAACTCTACGATATGATTATATCAGTGAAATTATGCATCAAATTGAAAAGGGCCAAAATCGTTTTTATAAAAAATGAAAGCATGGATATGGTGGGATGGGATGTCACATTTCTTTTGAATCATATTTTGTCCGGTCTAAACATCAATAAATACAAATGGACCCAACATAATTGTTAATGAAAATTGATTGTAAACAACAATTTGGGACCATACACAAGCTTCATATATACTAGAATTAAACAATATAATAAAGAAAGAGTTAATATTTCTTTTTTAATATTGTCTCTTACAATTTGCTTTAGATTATTGAACATGCCGTGCGAATATATTAATCGAGCTCATAATGTCGGTCCAATTTCTTTCTTTGAGTGGAGGAGTATGCACAGAGTAAACGCACAATGGAAAGTGTAGATATGGTGCAAAAGTTGTTTGTTTTGTAAGGTTGGCTTTTCCAAATCCAAATTAGAAAGCAATAATGCAATATAGAAATTTCTTTTCCTGTACACTATTTAAAAGATATGTTACGTAATAAACACCCCATTGTCACGAGTATAATACACTACAAGTCTACAATAATGCATGCTTTTGAAATCAGCTGCTTGCACTTTTGATCTCACTTTAGAATTCTGTTGCAACTTGCATATAGCCAAAACCATATTCTGATTGAAAAATTATATTGTTTGCAATTTAACCGAAACAAATATATCTTGAAATTTTTATTTTTATTTTTTTAAATTTGTATGCTTCAAATTCTATTTATCGTAGAACAGTTTATAGAGGAATTAGCGTTGGATAAACACTTGGATAATATTATTTAAAGAGTAATGTTATTGTAGTCGCTTACTATCGTGATTGTCTTATGTGATATACATGTAACAGTTAATGATTGAATGCATTAATATGTTAATTTTTTATTTCCTTAGGCATCATCAAATTAATAACCGTTACATGTATGTCACGTTGGGAGATTACGGTATTGAATGATTACAAATAGTATTATTCTTATTTAAACATATCATATCAAATGAGCCATTTGATGAATGAAGAAAGAAAATTGTTTCACACATAGATTATTTCACATTGAAAATTACAAATTTGATTTTAATAAGAGCTTTGTATCCTATATATTAGCTAAATGATGTCACAATGTAGGATTTAGCGAACACTGCTTGCTCTAACAACAAATCAATACAGACATCTTGTACGGAACCCAAAAAAAAGTAAAGAATCATAATCATTTGCAGGTTTACTCGACCTCTTGTTTGTAGGTTTTTTTTCCATTAATTGCACAAGTTGATAGGCGATTTACAAGATGATATGCATATAAAAACTGCCTCAGCCCAAAATACTTTGCTCAACCTAGAATTGGACAACATATATCGAACATTATCAAGAAAAGTTCAATTCATGCGTTTCACCAAAACGAGCCGCTATTTTAGACGATTTGCTTGCTACTAACACATGTTAGAAAATCAAATTAGATCCAAATATAAATTAAATTTTAGGATCAACATCATGCTAAATTACTAGGATGTACAGATTCAGATAATATACCTGTATCCATTGTAAACGATTGCCTACTGTTGCGGAATTACCGCGACAATCGACTACGTACCGATGAATGCAAATGAAGAGGGTGGTTTTGTGATCTTTCTCAACCAAATCTCCTTATTCCTCAATGGGACCGTGATTTCTCTTCTTGATGGGGAGAAGGAAAAAGAGTGTATGATTTGGTATATTGGGGACCATAACCAAAATAACCTTTATATACTACTTAATTAAGGTTCCCATTATCCCTTAATTAGAGTAATATTAGCCGGTATCTACTCACTTAGTCCATATTAATTTGAGTAGTCTATGGGCATACAAAAAATAGACCACTTGATTTTTGCCCATTATATTAAATAGCTAATATAATTGTATTAATATGTTGCCAATATTAATTTAGGAAAATCGTGTTTTTCTAACAACACAATGTTCCCAAAATTCTACCAGCAGACTTTTGCACCTTTCAATAAGTTTTGCTTTACCGCTCCATGCAAAGATTTCTAAAATGCGTCACAATATCATATGCCATAGCTTGGCGATTTCATGGTCTATACATTCTTCGGATACTATAGTTGTTGATCAAACAACTGTATATTTTGAAAATAGTACAAGTTGATTTTTTTAGTACCTTTCATCACTATAAGTGCTTATGGTAGAACTTTCAGAACTCTATTCCGTGCGATTATGTCCTTTAGATTCTAAGGTAATGATTAAGATTTTTTTCTTCGAATTCGCTATATATCCGAAATTTGTGAAAAGTATGTGCCATTTTCATTCGCAAAATAGATTGTATGATTTCCAATTATTTTACATGTAACGTCATTCCCCATGTAAACATATAAATTTTCCAAGTTTAAGAACCATTTCCTATTGGTGAAACTTATGTCCTCATCCTACTATTTGTTACACCCATATTTCCAACCTTTTAAAACTGTGACACTCATGTCTCCAACTAACAGAAAATGTTTATCCGAATGTTAAACAACCACTTAAAACTCTCATGATGCCAGAATGGTTTAAAGCAAAGGGATGAACATGGATGAATTTTACTCCATTTGAATTTCTGAAAGAAAATTAAAGTCACTGTTCGGTTTGTTTTTTAATAAAGGAGATCTTTTTCAATCCGGCACACATGAGTGTCACGTGATCATTTAACATTTATTTGAACGTTTCCTATTAATTTGGGACTTGAGTATAACAATTTTAAATGATGAAAATGCAAGTGCAACAAATGATAGGTTGGAAATATGAGTTTCATATTTATGGAGAGTTTGGAACTACCCTAAAAATTATCATTCATGAAATACATCAAGAAGGCCCCAACTCGTGCTTTGCAAGCCATTATTCACTAGGGTTAGACAAAACTCCCGAATCGAACTGAACTGAACCGGATTCGAATCGACCACAATCGAATTGAGCGGTTCTTCTTAAGTTAAACCCAAACGGATATCTGAATCGAGAATCGACGGGTTCAATTCGATTCTCGATTTTTGATCAAAAATCGAAGAATCGAAATTCCTAATTTTTAAAATTTATTTATTTTAAATAAGCCAAATTATTTTATTTATTCTAATAAATTTGCTAATTAATTAATTTAGCTTAAACCCAAATTTATGATTTTCCTATTTCTAATTTTCAGATTTAGCCCAACTTAATCAAATTAATTTAAGTTTTACCCAAATCTATTATTCTAGCATAGTGTCATTTCTATTGTTTTGGAGAAATCGAATTGAAGTTCGACAGCGTCACTCTTAATAATTGTGAGCTCAATATCTTTCTCTTACTGATTTTAACAATCAAACTATGAAAAACTCAACAAAAAGAGACACAAAAAATACATAAGATTGAACTACGTTATTTTATAAGATTTAAAATTAGATATATCATTAGTCGAATTAATGTAGTTTTGTAAATATTTAAAAAAATAATTATAGTACAGAACTTGAGAATCGAATGGAATCGAAATGAACCAAATGGAACGAACCCGAATGATTCCATGATTAAATTTGAATCCAATGATTCCAATTACTAAATACCCGAAAATTTCGGGCTCGATTCAATTCTCGTTAGAACCAAACCGGATCATGTGTAACCCTATTATTTACCAATAATTTTCAATGATACAAAAGACAAAATCCCTCTAGGATAATTACGTAACTATAAAAGCTCCGAGTTACATTTTAAAAATTAACAAACTTGTGGATTATTCCCTCAAAAATTAAGTGGTCACAATTTGTGACTCATGATCAAAGTTCAGTCACATTGTGTGACCTCTGATAAAAAATTTTGACCAATAATTTAGTTAATCATAGCACGT